TCAACCCAGACTACTATACCCTGCAAACCTTTCAATCAACATAGATGGAGAAAACAAAATATTCCATGACAAAACTAAATTTATGCAATATCTACACAGCAAACCAACCCTACAGAAGATACTAGGAGGAAAACTCCAATCCAACGAAAACAACTTCACCCAAGAAAACAGGGCATACAGATAATATCCCAACAAAAATGAAAGGAAAACAAGCAATGAAACAGGGTAAGGTCACTGGCTCCATTACAAAAGGAACTAACATGCATTGGTCACTACTATCTATCAATATCAATGGACTCAACTCACCAATAAAAAGACACAGGCTAACAGAATTGTTGCGGAAACAGGATCCAACATTCTGATGCATCCAAGAAACACACCTATGCAACAAAGATAAACACCACCTCAGAGTAAAGGGCTGGAAAAATGTTTTTCAAGCAAATGGTTCCAGAAAACAAGCTGGAGTTGCCATCCTAATATCCTAATAAAATAGACTTTCATCCAAAGTTAATCAGAAAAGATAAGGAGGGCCACTATATTCTCATCAAAGGAAAAATCCACCAAGAGGACATCACAATCTTGAATATCTATGCCCCAAATACAACAGCACCTACATTCGTAAATGAAACATTATTAAAGCTTAAATCATACATTGATCCTAATACCTTAATAGAGGGAGACTTCAACACTCCACTCTCACCAAGGGACAGATCAACTAGACAGACACCAAATAGGGAAATAAAAGCACTCACAGAATCCCTAAATCAAATGGACCTAATAGACGTCTACAGATCTTTTCAACCAAACTCAAAAGAGTACACCTTCTTTTCAGCACCACATGGAACCTTCTCCAAAATAGACCATATAGTGTGTCACAAAGCAAGCCTCAACAGATAAAAAAGAATTGAAATAATCCCTTGTATACTATCTGACCACCATGGACTAAAGCTGGACATCAACAACAACAGAAACAACAAAAAGCCGACACACACATGGAAACTGAACAACTTACTACTCAATGACAGCTGGGTCAAGGAAGAAATAAAGAAAGAAATTAAAGACTTCCTAGAATTCAATGAAAATGAAGGGAAAACATACCCAAATTTATAGGACACAATGAAAGCAATGCTCAGAGGAAAATCTATAGCACTAAGTGCCTGCAAGAAGAAATTTGTAACATCACATACAAACAACTTAATGAACCAACTAAAACCCTAGAAAAAAAAGAAGCAGATACACCCAAGAGGAGCAGACGGCTGGAAAATATCAAACTCAGGGCTGAAATCAATCAATTAGAAACAAATAAAACTATTCAAAGAATCAATGAAACAAAAAGCTGGTTCGTTGAGAAAATCAACAAGAAAGACAAACCCTTAGCCAAACTAACTAAAAAGCAGAGAGAAACTATCCAGAATCAGCAAAATCAGAAATGAAAATGGGGACATAACTACAGACACTGTGGAAATCCAAACAATTATTAGGTCATACTACAAAAACCTATATGGCACAATATTTGAAAATCTAAATGAAATGGATAATTTTCTTGACAGATTCCATCTACCAACATTAAGCCAAGAGCAGGTAGAAAGACTGAATAGCCCTATATCTCCCAAGGAAATTGAAGCAGTCATTAACAGTCTCCCCTCCAAAAACAGCCCTGGACCAGATGGCTTCAGCGCAGAATTCTACAAGACCTTCAAAGAAGTACTAACACCAATTCTCCTCAAACTATTCCACAAAATAGAAACAGAAGGAACACTACCAAACTCATTCTATGAAGCCACAGTCACTGTGATACCTAAACCACACAAAGATCCAACAAAAAAGTGAACTTCAGACCTATCTCTCTTATGAACATTGATGCAAAAGTACTCAATAAAATACTTGCTTCATCCCAGGCATGCAACGGTGGTTCAACATACGGAAATCCATCAATGTAATCCACCACATAAACAAACTGAAGGAGAAAAACCACATGATCATCTCCTTAGATGCCGAAAAAGCATTTGACAAAGTCCAACACCCATTCATTTTTAAAGTCTTGGAGAGATCAGGGATACAAGGCACATACCTAAAGATGGTAAAGGCAATATACAGCAAGCCTATAGCCAATATCAAACTCAATGGAAAGAAACTTAAATCAATCCCACTGAAATCAGTGACAAGACAAGGCTGCCCACTGTCTCCATATCACTTCAACATAGTACTTGAAGTCCTAACCAGAGCAATAAGACAACTAAAGGAGATCAAGGGGATACAAATCGGAAAGGAAGAGGTCAAAGTGTCTACTATTTGCAGATGATATGATAGTATACATGAGCGACCCAAAAAATTCAACCAGAGAACTCCTTCAGCTGATAAACATCTTCAGCAAAGTGGCAGGATACAAAATCAACTCAAAAAAATCAGAAGCCCTCCTGTACACCAAAGACAAAAAGGCTGAGAAAGAAATTAGGGAAACAACACCCTTCACAATAGCCACTAATAACATAAAGTACCTTGGTGTGACTCTAACCAAGCAAGTGAAAGACCTGTTTGAGAAAAACTTCAAGTCTCTGAAGAAAGAAATCGAAGAAGATCTCAGAAGATGGAAAGATCTCCCGTGCTCATGGTTTGGTAGGATTAACATTGTGAAAATGGCCATCCTGCCAAAAGCAATCTACAGATTCAATGCAATTCCCATCAAGATACCTACTCAATTCTTTACAGACCTTGAAAAAAAAGATTCTCAGCTTCATATGGAGAAACAAAAAACCCAGAATCTCCAAAACGATCCTGTACAACAACAGATCATCTGGAGGTATCTCCATCCCAGATCTCAAGCTGTACTACAGGGCAACAGTAATAAAAACTGCATGGTATTGGCCTAGAAACAGAAAGGAGGATCAATGGAACTGCATAGAAGACCCAGAAATAAACGCACACACCTATGAATACTCAATATTTGACAAAGAAGCCAAATCCATTCAATGGAAAAAAGACAGCATCTTCAACAAATGGTGTTGGACCAACTGGATGTCTACATGCAGAAAAATGAAAATAGATCCATATTTATCTCCCTGCACAAAACTAAAGTCAAAGTGGATCAAGGACCTCAACATAAAACCAGATACTCTAAATCAGTTGAAAAAAAAAAAAGTGGGAACAGCCTAGAACTCATTGTCACAGGAGACAACTTCCTGAACAGAACACCAACAGCACAGGCTCTAAGAGCAACAATCAATAAATGGGACCTCATGAAACTGAAAAGCTTCTATAAAGCAAAAGACACTGTCATCAAAACAAAAAGACAGCCTACAGATTGAGAAAGAATCTTCACTAACCCTTTATCTGAAAGAGGGCTAATATCCAGTATATATAAAGAACTAAAGAAGCAGAAAAGTAACAAACCAAGTAATCCCATTAAAACATGGGGAACGGAGCTAAACAGAGAATTCTCGACAGTGGAACATCAAATGGCAGAGAAACACTTAAAGAAATGCTCAACTTCATTAGCCATTAGGGAAATGCAAATCAAAACAACTCTGAGATTTCACCTTACACCCATCAGAATGGCCAAGATGAAAAACTCAAGTGACAACACATCATGGAGAGGTTGTGGTGAAAGGGGAACCCTCCTCCATTGCTGGTGGGAATGTAAACTGGTACAACCACTTTGGAAGTCAATCTGGTGCTTTCTCAGACAATTAGGAGTAGTGCTTCCTCAAGACCCAGCTATACCACTCCTAGGTATATACCCAAAATTTGCTCAAGTACACAACAAGGACATTTGTTCAACCATTATTTGTAATAGCCAGAACTTGGAAACAACCCAGATGTCCATCAACGGAGGAATGGATACAGAAATTGTGGTATTTTTACACAATGGAATACTACTCAGCAATCAAAAAGGAGGAAATCATGAAATTTGCAGGCAAATGGTGGGATCTAGAAAAGATCATTCTGAGTGAAGTATCCCAGAAGGAGAAAGACAAACTTGGTATATACTCACTTATATAGACCTACAAGTTATGATAAACATAATGAAATCTACACACCTAAAGAAGATAATCAAGAAAGTGGACATGGGTGAAGATGATCAATCCTCATTTAGAAAGACAAATGAGATGTGCATTGAACCTATGACAGGAGTCTACCACAAAAGGAATCTGAAAAACTCTACCTAGCAGTGTTTCAAAGCAGACACTAAGACTCATAACCAAACCCTCGTCAGAGTGTAGGGAATCATATGAAAGAAAGGGAGTTAGTATGATATGGAAAGGATAGGAGCTGTACAAGGACCAAATATATCACAGAAACACAGGGTTTTTTCTGAGACTGACACTCAACCAAGGACCATCTATGGATATAACCTAGAACTTCTGCTCGGATGAGGCCCGTGGTAGCTCAGTATCCAAGTAGTTTTCCAAGTAAGGGGAACAAGGACTATTTCTAACAGGATTTCAAGGGCAGGCTTTTTGAACACCCCCCCCCCCAGGGGAGGAGCAGTCCTGTTAGGCCACAGAGGAGGACTTTGCGGCCAGCCTTGAAGATACATTCTAAAACAGAGTCAAATGAAAGGGGAGGAGGTCCTCCCCTATCAGTGGACTTGGAAAGGGGCAAGGAGGAGACCAGGGAGGGAGTTGGGGAGGGCGAGGGAATGAGGGAGTGGGATACAGCTGGGACACAGAGTTAACAAATTGTAACTAAAAAGAAAAACAAAAATTAAAAAAAAAAGATATTAGGGTCAGGGATAATAAAATCAGTTATTAATATGGAAAATAAATCTAAGCTCTTAACATAATACCTTGCAATTAGACAGCCATATCTATGTGTATTAACATGTAATCATGATTAAAAAATGTACATAAGCTAAAGAAACAATATTTAATTTTTAAACAAAAAGACAGTTTCAGAAAACAGAAATAAAATGTTAAGAGAAATGCTAGTGATCAATCAATTAATTTAAGTTATTCTCTGTCATTGCTTTTCTTTTTCAGATAAACCTGTATTGTGAGATTATGGCCAATTCCACCCTGGTGACTGAGTTCCTCCTGGCGGTTTTTGCTGAGACTTGGGAGCTCAGGCTGCTGCTCAGTGTGCTGTTCCTGCTGGTGTACCTGGGCAGCTTGTTAGGGAACCTTATCATCATCATCGCTACCACAGTTGACCAGACCCTGAACACTCCCATGTACTTCTTCCTCAGGAATCTGTCCATCTTAGACATGTGCTACATTTCTGTCACTGTCCCCAATGCCTGTGTCAACTCTCTCACTGACCACAAGAAAATTTCTGTGGCTGGGTGTGCAGCACAGATCTTTTTTGTCTTCTTTTGTGCATGTGTAGAGATTCTGTTTCTCACCATCATGGCCCAGGACCGCTATGTGGCCATCTGTAAGCCTCTCCTCTACCCTGTGATTATGAACCACCAATTCTGTGCTCAGATGACACTGGCTTCTCTCTTTAGCTCTCTTATCATTGCAGGAGTGCACACTATCAAAACGTTCCAGCTCTCCTTCTGTCACTCTAATGTGGTCCCTCAGTTCTTTTGTGATGTCCCCTCTTTGCTGAAGCTTTCTTGCTCGGACACCTTTAACAACAAACTCTTACTTCTTCTTTCTGCCATTGTGATCGGTGGTAGCTGCTTTACCTTCATTGCCACATCATATGCTCAGATATTATCAACTGTGTTGAAGGTTCCTGTCAAAGGAGAGAGAGGGAAGGCCTTTTCCACCTGTGTCCCTCACATTATTGTGGTCTCTGTGTTTCTTAGTTCTGCTGCCTATGTATATCTAAGACCTCCAGTAACCTTAGAATTAGTCCAGGAGATTACTCTTTCTGTATTTTATACCATTGTTCCTCCATTCTTAAATCCTATTATTTATAGCCTTAGGAACAAACAGATAAAGGAGGCTGTGAAGAAAGTAACATTAAGAATTTTTTTCACAGTTGGATACAAAATGAATGAGTATTGGTCAGGGTGGTCTAGAGAAAATGAACTAATGAAATAAAAAAATATTTTAAACACAAGTGCGCACACGTTGTGCGTGCGCATGCACGCACGCGTGCACACACACACACACACACACACACACACACACACACACACACACACAC